GAATTCCGACATCATTAAGGCCTCCAAATGTCCAACGAACGGTGCATGATCAAAGGATTCGATATCGGCCATCCATTCAAACCACTCCCAATTCGCCCCTGATCTCACGCCTATTTACGGGCTATGACACTCCAGAAAAACTATAAATAGTGCTCTCATTCTATACAAAGAGGACTCAAGTGAAGAGAGATAAGAATATGAGAAGAAGGAGGAGAAGGAAGAAGCTCCTCCTCAACCACCGCCGGAGCTCTTCCTGCCGCATGAAGACGCCGGAACTCTGCCGGATTTTCGAGAAACGCCAGGAATTTGCAGAACTTTGTAAACTTCCTGGAAGAAACAAATTGTATTATGATTGTCCCGACTTGTGGGACGAATTAGCCATTTGTAATATACAAAAACACTAGTTGAACTTTACAATTGGGCAAGGCCCCGTGGTTTTTTCCCTTTTTGGGTTTTTCACGTAAAAACCCTGGTGTTCACTTCTCTTTTCTGCTTGTGTGCTGAATACTCATATAACGCTAGGGCGCGAATTTACAAACTCTACCGCCGCGTATATTCTAGCACGCAACAAGATTAATTTCATTCATCATGGATATTATCATAGTCATTAAGGAATTTAATAACTTGGTTGTTTTCATCCAAGAAAAATCATGTAATTCTCTTTAAAGTCTCAAATCATCCATGCTGCGGTCAAGCAGTGTAGAGATTTGGCCAGATTTAAGAATTGGGCAACCCAGTAGTCATCAGGATTTAAACTATCATTATAAACCAAACCTAAGATTACAAATTCCTGCGTACATCCAAATGCCCCCTTAAAATCGGTTAAAACTGGGAATGAAATTTAGTTAGGAACGGATTAAGCGATAGATATGCGTACCTGGCTGCTGCTGTCTTCAGATATTAATCTCAACCCTTGCTTATTGAGCAGTAAATCCCCGTCCTGGAACGTCCCGCTCGCCGTCCTGACAACCCGAAGCCAAAATTTTCACATTACCCACCAAAATCAACGGAGGAATCACATAAAAATGGGGGAAGGGATAAACATAATTAATCTCCCACATAATGCACAGGCTTCCGTAATAACCCTATCGTGAAGATCACACACAATGAGACTGGTCAAGGAAGGCTCGATACTTACAAGAAATCCGTTACTGGCTTTTCTTGACAGGGCACCGCGAGCTTGAGCTGGCCCAGTGGATTCTTGGTCTTCATGATCGAGGGGTTTAAGTTTTCCTTCAAACCCTATTCTCGACTAGGGTTCTCTATTTTTGCCTAGACTGATGCAGAAGAGAGGGAGAAGAAGCGACGAAATGTTTTCCGTTTTTTTTTTTTTTTTTTTTTTAAATTAGAGAGCTGACGGGCGCATAATAAATTCAAATGACTAGACCGCAAAAAAAAAATTTTTTTTTTTTGGACATTTAGGTCATTTAAGACAAATTTACACACACAACGTATACATAAAGACTCGAACCCAAGATCTCTTAGTTGACAGCATAAGCTCTCAACCAACAGGCCAAGATGAGCTGTGTCAGACCGCCAAAATTTATCAAAAAAAAAAAAAAAGGTCCGCTAGACAAGAAATAAAGCAAAAAACGAAGTAGTCGACAACAACCGGAACACGAGGCAGTCGATTTATTTATTTGTTTGAGCCTTTGAGGGGGGCCAATTCATTGACGAAGGTAACAAAATACAAGTATGAAAATTTGTTTTAAAAAAAATACTCAACAACAAAAAAATACCGAGGATTCATAAATGAAGAAAAACTAAAGTTAAGGAGCATGCAATGAATTTATTGGAGGACTCCGGATACTAATAGAAAAGTAAGAGGCCACCAAATGGAACTTCAAAATACTCAACATAGAAGCATAGCCTCTAGTTGCCAAGAGGTCGTCTAAGGGGCAGCTGGAAGACATCAGCATTTATCATCATCCTTAAAAAAAACACCCCAGGCAACGACGTACGAGAAGCAAAACCGAGCAGGATCACTAATTGAATTACTACTATTTTTTACCGTAAGCATACTATTAATACAAACAATTAAAATAAATATAGATATATAGTTGAGCAATAGTTACGAGATGGTTATCAAGGAAAAGTAGTTGTGTAAAGGTAGTAAGAGGAATGTAATTAGGTAGCAAAGATTAGATAAGCGTCGTTGAAGGTTAGAGGGCCATAATTAGGAGGTAGTGGTCGGAACTATAGTAAAATGATTTTAGTTTAAGGATCGTAGGTGTGAAACCTCTAGGACATAGTACTATTCAAACTAGCCCAACCCAACTAGAAGTCAAGTAAACTGTTGAATGTTTGCATTTGAACTCTATTACATGAATATAAGAATAATATGTGTATGAAAAATATATCTACATATGCTTTAAAGTGGATTTTAGGGGTCTAAATGTTTGTTTGTTGAAATTTGAATTTAGTTTCTTGGAACGTTGGATGATAGGCTAATTTTTGTTCATAAAATATTCAAATTCACTATTCCACCCTGTATGGCTGTATGCTTAGTTTGAGCACCCTCCTATAGAGAGAGAGAAGCGTTTTAGTGAGAAAAACTCTATTTTGGGCTACTTTAGGTCATTTTCAATCATCGGACAAGATGGGAAAGTTGTTCGGGTCAAACTATGTTATATTTTTACTATCTCATTTTTTAATAATCAAATATTTTATTTTTTTTATTATTGAAATTATAATTTGGTTTTACAAAAAAAATATGATTTTCTAAAATTCTGGTAACTTTCATCGGTGTAACTTTTGATATGTTATCAATATGATCGTTCTGATCGTTTTGAATATTTATTCGAGATTTTTTATCAGACAATTTTTAAATATAGTAATTTTATAAAAAAAAATGATATATAAAAATATTGTTTTAGTTCAGTTAAAGCTTCAAAACACTATTATACACAATACATGGTAATGTGGCAGAATTCTAAAAACTTAGTTTTAACCAACTGTAGAATATCATGTGGGAAATTATTTGATAGTCATTAAAGTTTTTTTTTTTTTTTTTAATTATACAACAATAATGTGATTATTTGAATAGTGTAGAATGCACTTTATTTTTAATATGTGTGATTGAAATATTTGAATTGGCGACAAGAAGGGATTATGTTATCTATTATGTGTTAGAAATTTTGAAGTATGGGGGGCTATTTAGATATTCCCTATGAAGGAGTTATATTTGGCAGGGAGAAGGGATTTTGCTGGCGGCGAAAAGGAATTCCGTTGTTTGTTTGTATATACTGAAAATTGAGGTCTGAGAGCTAGTCTAATAATTACTATGAAATATTTGTTTATATTTTGGTTAGTCTCATTATGATTTCAGTTGTTATTTAAATGTTTATTAAAATCCAATATTTAATTATGTATGTTTCAGTTCCAACTTTCCATACGATATTTCAATTTATTATTTTAATATTTTTAGCTCTTCCGATAATTTCTATGCAATGTTATTTTATAGTTCAGTTAGTCTGTATATGATTTCAATTGTTATTTAAATGATTATTAAACATTAGTATTTGTATCTGTTTCAGTTTTGACTTTCTACACGGTATTTCAGTTTATTATTTTAATATTTTTAGCTTTTGTTTTAAGATGCCATAGCCTACTGAGCTATGTTGGCTCACTCTAAGTTTTGCTTTTATTTTCACGTTAGTGAAAAGGAAAGGAGCGAGCTTAGTGGTTTTGATATTAAGCTCTGATATGTTATATAGTTATGATTTTGGTTAGTCTTCCTTTTTGCGGGCTTGACTTTTTTAATGTCTGGAGTTTCCAGCCATGCTTCAAGTGTTTTATTTGGGCTCCTTTAGACTCGTAACGGGTCGCTTTTTTTTTGTGTCGATATAGCCATCTCATTGAAAGATTTAGTTTGACAATTCATTTGCTTAAATTGAAGTTCATGATTATGAATTTAAAATTGAAATTTCCATTTCAATTAATATGGATATATGTTGCTGATAAAGTCATTGATGATAATAAAGTATTCTTCACAATTTTTTGATCTAAATTTAAACCATTAAACAGTCATGTCTTAGACCTTACGACAGTTCAAATTATCAAAATTTGAATAATTTAATATCTTTTCTATAAAATAATTAACCTAAAATAAAAATTTTTAGCGGCATCAAATACATTTTTATCATAGTATAATTGCTTAACATAAAATTAAAATCACATTATCATTGGTTGATAAATCAATTAAATTAAAAAATGATAATTAGTTTTTTTAGAGAATTTTAATTAATTCAAATATTTAGCTAAGTTTAATATAAATATGATAGAAGGTATATTATTTGTTCTACGGCAATTTCAAGGACGGAGGTATCGCCCATCACTTCTCGAGACTCAGCTTCCGTTCTTTTTCTCTCTCTAAAAATAAATTTAATCTCGTTTAAAAACCTAAATAAAAAAGTCTCTCTTTCCCTTCTCATCCGCCTCTGGTTTGCCCTGGTTCACATCGAAAGCAACAGCGAATAATTTTCGGCCTCAATTCATGCTGGGAATGGGCTCGGCAGATCGGGAATCACGAGATGTGGTCGATCAATACGCCGAATCTGTAAGCAGATCGGCGTGGCCATGTACTGGTAAGCGTATATCTCACTGTCTTTTGCTTTTTTTTGGATTTTAAGTTTTTTAGTAGAAATTGGAAGACCCAAGTAAGTAAGAGAGTTGTACACTTGGTCAATACCAAGTTCCCCACAAATATCAAGCTTCTCAGGTGCTAATGGAGTGTTGTTTCGGCGTTGGTTTTCTTGCCCTTCACTTCTCTCTCCCTCCTCGCTTCTATTTCTTGAATTTCTTCCCTATTGACTGTCAATGGCGGTAGGTTTGATTTTACTTTTTCTTTTAATAATAAATTTGACCTAGATCCTTAAACCTTCACACCGAATTCCAGATTTATGCTAATACATATGATATCAACTGCTGCAAATCTTCCGATTTCAATATCTTTGCTGATTTCCTGCTTCGGCGGTACTGAAAGTCTGCAAACTGATTGCGCACAGCTGACAGCATTGAGAAAATAGTAGAGTTATGCAAGAAACACGTGAGACTGCTGTCAGCTATGGAGGACAGCTAAGCTCTATTTTGTTTATAATTCAAGTAAATTTAATTATAATTAAATACTTAATTAAAAATTTTAACTCTCCACCAACAAATCTAAAATGAGTTTCATAAACTCAGAAGTTATCTGGTCTCTACTCTGCGAGATCTTTTTAAAATTCTTTAATGATCTAGCTTAATTATATTTTAATAAAAGAAAATTCAATTCATAAATCACAATAAAATACTAAAAAAATATACAATTTTCGTAAAAGATAGTCATGAAAAAAAATTATTAGCAATAACATCATCTGCTGAGAATTAAATATCATACCAGATTTATATTTTTTTAAGGAAAAAATATCAGAACAGTAACTCAGCAGGAAGAGTTTCCAATTGTTCAGAACGGGAATATCAAGTGGGTTGAGTAATAAATAAGTCATTATCCCAAAAATCAGTGCTAAAATTCCGAATCAAAGCGTTAAGAGATTAGCAACAAATTTTATGATGCGCTCAAGAAAGCTACAGAAGGCTGCGAGCTGACATCATCTTCCACCTGCAAGCCTTGTCTGTCTATTTTTTTCTTAAATTTTTTCAAAAAAAATTATGTTTTCCTGTCTTTCATGGTCCCCCCTCTGGTCTCCTCTCCTTCTATTCATACACAACTCCAGCAAAATAACCCCACGCCATTGGCCTTCTGAATTGCGCTACCATTGTTCTTTCGATATTGAGTTATTGCATACACAGCATGACCTCGGGATGCAGATGGAGAATGGCAACGCTAGAAAGCGAGCCCGCTTCATCAACGGCGGTGATCCATCCATCGTGCTGGAACCGAAGGAGAGCCATCGCTACATTAATGATGGCTGCTCTGAGAAAAAGGTAAACATGGCGGCATCCAGTGCCGGCGGAAGTTTCCGGCCGTGGCAGCTCCCTTCGTCTCGAATCTTTCGCGTCTCTCGCGCCTCTGGCGGCAAAGACCGTCACAGCAAAGTTTTAACTTCCAAAGGCCTCCGTGATCGCAGAGTCCGTCTCTCTGTTTCAACCGCCATCCAATTCTACGACCTCCAAGATCGCCTCGGCTTTGACCAGCCCAGCAAGGCCATCGAGTGGCTGATCCAAGCCGCTGCCGCTGCCATTGATGAGCTCCCATCTCTCTGGAGCTCCTTTACTGAGCTTCCCTCCCCCACCGGCGAGCAGAACCAAGCAGAGCAGCCGCATCCCTCCAAGTCCGGCTGCAGCAGCACTTCAGAGACAAGCAAAAGCTCGGTTCTTTCCCTCCCTTGTTCAGAGATTTGCGTCAAGGCGATGGAACGAGCTCGCGAGGTATCTGCGAAGGAGAAGGAGAAGGACGGGGAAGACGGCGGGGAGCATTTCTCCGGCGCCGACCATCCTCATGGTTCGTTCACAAAGCTACTAACTGATCAATCTGATTCTGTTTCTGACTCGACTCCGGTGACCGCAGGCGGTCAATTTCAGACTTTGCTGCCGTCGGCCATCGTGACGGCGGACTACTTTGGCCAAGCTGGCTTTTTTACTCGACTGCCAGCCCAAACTCACTTTGTGAACAGCTCTCCGCTAGTGGAAATGGCAGCCACTGGAGACCAATTGGAGATGCAGCAATTCTCATTTATGCAAGATTACATTGATTATAATTTCAACTTTCCGGCCGCCTCAGGTCTTTCTGGTTTCCAGAGGGGGACCCTTCAGTCCAATTCATCGGTTCATTTGACACAACAGCACCTTCGTCACCAATTGCTACGGTTTTCTTCCCCTCCTTTTTCTGTCATGGTTGGACCAAACTTGCAGTTAATGACTCCGGCATCAGCCCCTTCATCGACCGAGAATTTCTTCTGCTCTGGATTAGAAGGTCGTCTACAGGTCAGCAGGGAGCTGCCGACTCCATTTTTGCTGGATGGTTACATTTCCTCTGATCTCAAAGGAAAAGGGAAGAACTGATGTCGCCATGGCAATGCCGGAGATTGCGAGGTCCTGTTTTTACCGGTAAGAAGCCAGAACGCTTGTTTTTTTTAATGATTTTTTAGCTGCTTTCATTAGTTGATAAGAAATGCTACTGTTTTCAGTAGTTATGGGAATTATTGTTTACACCACCGATTCAAATTAACATATTCTCAACGTTACTTTTAAATTGCATATTAAAAAGTTTTTTTTTTTTTTTTTAATGCCAAGCACATCACAATCCTTTCCTTTCAAGCTCAGAAGAAATAGATTTTATGAAGTAGAGATTACTTCTCGAAATTGATTTTAGTTTGTCCAGATGCGAATATGGCTGAGTATCGTGTCCCTTTTGATTTTTAAGTATTATTGACACACATGCTCTTTTTCGTGACCCTCAATCTTTGGCAGCCCTTAGTAATATTCGTATTGGTTTTTTCTCGAGCTTTTCTAGTCATTGAAACTTGCTAGCTTTTTGTCCAGCTGAAAACCGTGCTTCTTTTGGAAATTGTGAGTAGGTTTTGACGGGTGTCAAACTGGCGCAGGGAGCAACTGAGAAATGAAACACGCCAGAACACCGAGAGGATGATAAAGGAAAAGAGTTTCCACTATTCTTCCTGACTTCAGAGTAAAATCATTGCGTATATCAATCCGTTAGGAACACAGCTCACTTTGACCTATTGGTTGAGAGCTTAGGCTTTCAACTAAGAGGTCATGTGTTTGAGTCTTTGTGTATGCGTTGTATGTATGAGTTTGCCTTAAATGACCTAAATGTCCCAAAAAAAATCAATTTGTTAGGATATGGCTATACATCTGCCTTTGGGTTGCTGCGCTGGCAATGTTAAACCATAGAGTAAAAAGGTACATAGAAAACTATTAGCAGCTAATTAGAAGTAATAACAAAAATCACAAATTTAGTAATATAAGGGAAGGTGAAGTGGTATATGGTGGGCTGCATCAGGTCCCTTTTGCTTTGGAGGAACTGGACTCAAGTTTAGCAAGTTGGAGATTTCTTTCATAAGGAGGATGGCACATCACCAAAAGTTGCCTTGATTTGACACAAATCACGAGGCATATTTGAGTTGAAAATTTCCAAAATTGAAATAAGGATCATTCGAACTTTAATTTCAACAAACTTATAGTCGAACTGATTGGCTTGACATGATAAACACAATAGCACTAAAATCGGTCCAATTCGGACCTAAATCAAGGGTGTGAAGAATATTTAAAAGTTTTAGGCCATTAATTAGAAGACCAAATGATCTCCACATTTGGCATGCTTATTGTCAAATCGATCATTTCGACAAGACGAATCCAACAAAGCCCAAGATTACTTCATTTTTACATCATGAAGGCACTTAATTGCTAAAAAAAATGGTTTATAGTTGAGGGAATCAATTTAGTCCGTCTGATAGAGTGCTTCAGATTTTCTCCATATTTATGTGGCTTGCACTCTAAAAAAATCTATAGAAAGGTCCCCACTCCCTGCATGAAGAGGAAGATTGGGCCTTGGCTAAGCTTTGTGGCCCGAAAAATACTAGCGATGCACTCAAGTACCACCAACAACAAACACTTGCTGGCCATATGTTGCCAGATTTTTATCGCTCCGCTGCTGGGCCTCTGCCTGAATGCCTGACCTTCGCCCTGTGACAACCCTTCTCGATATAACCCATGGAAGGAACATGTCATATCATCTTGGACTATAATAGGACAAAAATCCTAAATCTAATTGGAGAGAGTTGCATAATTTTTAAAATAATTTATAAATTATAGAGCCACAATGTGACATATACATCACTGAATTGAACAAAAAGAGCCATCAATGTGTCCCTTCCCTTTATCCTCATTTGAAATAGATGCAGAATGTAGGCATGAGCAATCATAGCTCAATAAGTCTCATTTAACCTACTCAAATCTTTAATAGTAATTAACATGACATAAATAAAGCTGTAAAGTAAATGCATTTGTATAGAAGTTTGAATAGATTGCTTAGAACAATATATATATTAGACATCTATAGTGCAGTAAATAGTAATTCTATAATATCAATCGTAAGTAGTAAAACGGTGAGGTTGTAGAATAATAAAGTAGCAGAATAACAACACATCATATTTTTTTCTCAAAAAAGAATATTTTGCTCAAGCTATTATACCTCCCAATAGATATCAGAATCTTAGTCCTTATATCTCCTTGCCTAGCGTATCAAATAATAATCCTTTATAACTCCCAATGCATAACAACATCGACATTCAGAGATTTTAAGCTCTTGTAACTCCTAATAGACAACACATTAGAATCTATGCCATTCATCAAAATTTTTTTAGATTCACACTTTTCAAGTATACAAGTACAGAAATAAATGCATTTCAGGCTTAATACACAATATTAAATTTATTACAGAGTTTTGCAAAGTATCCTATTGACAGCCAAACAGACAGAAACTCGGTGGAAAGCAACATAAAAATAATCACATTTTTATAAATTAACCAACTTTCCACACACGTTTATAGCTATGTTTCAAATCTTTTATTGTACTATAATACTATTTATAGTGTCAGAATAATTTTCAGATCATTAAAATGACATATTTTAAAAAATAGTCAATGAAAATTCATAAATAAAATACAAAAATGTATAAAATATTATCAATTATAACATATCAAAAATTACCCGGTGAAAATTTATCGAGTGATCGGATATACTCGTTTTTACATCAAAACTTAAACTAAAATGTATGAAATTCTTTAAACTTTGAATTATTAAAAATTGATATAGACAAAACGTAATCTACCTCGACCCGGATAATTTCTCGAACTGACCCAATAATGAAAAATGTTCTAAAGCAACCTGAAATGAATATTCTCTCTCTCTAGTTGGCTGCCTAAAGGAGAAAATGAAAATAATATTTTGATTTAAAGCCTTAAAGCTATGAAAATGAAAAGGCCTTTCTTGCACACTCACATTTCACATAATGTCAAGGTGGCACCATATTGGCTCCAAAGTGGGCATTTGCCCACCTCTCCAATTTTTTTTAAGGAGATACTAATTTTTAGGAGTTTGCCCAATCTCAATTTATTATTTTGCCCAATTTTCATAAAAAATGCTCAACTTAACCCTCTACTTTACATGAATTGGCTAATTAATTAATTAAAATAAAAACTCATAACTTTCATAATCTTACTTACTTTATTGATATTATCATATTAATTCTTAATATTTTTCTTTAGAAACACTAATTTTGCATATTATTATTATTTATTTATTATATTATTCAATTACTTAAAATTTTAACTCTCCAATTCAAAATTCAAATTTGAATTAGGAGTTAAATGCCCCCTCAATTTCCTCCTTTATTAAGGAATTAATCTCAGCTTTAAATCTGAAATTTAATTTCTGATTTAAGAATTAATTCACTTAAGTAATTGGGGCCTACTTATTTGAAATCAAACCCCTCTCTCCTCCTCATTATTCTTTGCCATTAATGACTCCTTAATCACTCCCCCCTGAATTTTAGTTAATTCAAATTCAAATTGAAAGTGATTTAATCCAATCAATCCTAATTGAGAGCTATTAATTGAAACTATCTCAATCCCATCTAATTTCAGCCCAGCCAAAATATTCAAAGCTTAAGCCATTAATTACTTCCCAAACGTGAGAGGGGAATAAGGAAACAATTCCCTGAATTTTCTCTATATCCCGCCGTCCCCCCCCTCACTGGATCCTTCCTAAAATATGTCCAGATTTCACTGTTTCTACTTAGGAAGTTGTCAAAAGTTGCTGTTTAGACCCCTTGATTTGCTCTTCAAGAGCAATCTCCTACCCCGTTCTACATCAGTATGATGTTTGATTTAGTAATTTTCTTTCATGAGCAAATATTTAATCTTTTGTTTTATATTAATGATGTCTGCATCCACGCCAACTAACATATTGTTGATACCCTCAACAATGCAATATTCTAAGCCCATACAAGAACACAGCTCAACTTTAGTGGAATGTTTTTTTTTCTAAGAATCTGTTTAATGAGAAGACATCTCATTTGGTATTTGTAAGCTTACCTCCAAGCACCCATCTCTGTAGGGTCCTTGGAAGAACCATCAGGGTTAACTTTGAAGCATCCCACAGGCGATGATACCAAGTGATAACTATCAGATTACATTCCTTCTTGCTCACCAAATGGAAACCGATGTGATTAACAAAGTTTTTAAAATCTTTGAAATAGTCTGAGGTGTTATACTTAAAGATAATTAAATAATTAATCTCTTTATATATTATGTTGAAAGCATACATCTGTTTGTATTCGACAAATTTCTGTATTTCCATATCTACCAGGAGATTACACAAGGCAGAATAGAAGATCATGCCTTTTAGATGACTGATAGGAAGCACTTGAAAATTTCAAGTAAATCCTATCAATTTCGGACAAAACAACGAGAAAACTCTTCCAAACTCCAAAAAACAATAGTTTTTATTGCAATAATCAAAGACGCAAAAGGAAAATACCAAGATACAGTCGATCCTCAATTCAAGAGAAGGATCTATCTCTCCCAAATCTCTAGACACTAGAGCCCAAAAAAAAAAATAGAGATCTCAAATTCAGCCAAATTCAAGATGCCCTAACCCTAGGAAAACAAACTATTTAATGCATACAATTAAAAAGGAAATCTCTAAACAATCCCTACATTCAAATTTTCCTCCTAACTCCCTAAAAAATTCTTCCTAAACAACTCCCTTGGACCCGGCGGTCAGATTGGTGCGTACAGAAGGCAGACCCGTAGGACCGGTTGGACCAGTCTAACAAGGACTTGTTAAGAAAACCCAATATTATCAGTATTAGTCAAGTTAATGTTACAAAAGCTAGTAAAGTGATTCCAAAATTTCCTATGATATTCATTAAACTTGAAAACATGAGAAAACAATGTATCCACACAATAATAGCATTTAGAAATTTTTGAATCCCTCGTGTTTGCATAACTATCCACTAGGATGAGTTCATTAAAAATTCTCCACATGAAAATGAAAAGATAGGTATGACTTTTGTTTCATAAAGGGTAAAATTATTGTGATTTTCTTTGCTTAACGCTCCTGCAAGTGCCTTTTAAGGAGAAAAGCAATTTCAACTCATTGTTCCAAAAAATAGTGTCATTGTAATCACAGTTGATGTGCATGGGCGTGATGGTATCAAGCCAATCCCTAGGCAGTTAGTCTAATAATAGAGGTTTGTTCTAATACACATTATTAAAGCAATGATAAACCTTGAGATTAGAACTGAAATTTATGTGCAGATCAATAAGCCTCAAGAAACAACCCACCTATCAAAGCAAAAGGAAATATTCCCTTTCTTCAAATTTCAAAAGACATAATATCTAACTTATCTTTAATACTACAAAGAATACTTTAGATTGGGGAGACAATAATCTTCTTCACAATCAGACTTCTAATGTTTAGAGTAATGATATTTAACACACAAATATTTAATCCACAGAGAATTATTAAGCATAAATTTTTATTATTGAACACTAAAAATACGTCAATAATCAAAGCTGTTGAGACATTTGAATCATTGTTACCTAAAAAAGAGAAGGTATGATCCTCATTTCGTCAGATCACATTTAGATTTAAAAAAAGCACGAGATATCCTTGTTAATGATATATAATTAACAATTTGAGGTTAAAGTTTAAACCTATTAGTGAGACGTGGATGAAAACCAAATATGAAAGGTTACTGGACATGATTATAGGCCTTGTGCAATGTATAACAAGTATAGTTGAAGTGGACATGTTACATGAATTGAAGAAGGTGCTTTAAGTAGGCAGACCTGTTCCTCAGCGTCTTTAATGGAAACAAAGATATTATTATTCCAAAATCTAAGTTATCTTAAGCCCTTTATGCTTCAACCAGAGGTCAATAAGATCAAAGTCTCAATTGGAGCACTCCAATTATCATTGATAATTGAATTAAATCCTCATGTTTAGTCCACATATTACGGAACCTAAAAGGCTGAGTCCTTTATAAGAAAAGATTGTCATTGAAAAATAGAAGAGGAGAATGATCTGAGCCAGACCTATTAAGGTGTCAAATTGGGAGAGAGAAAAAAAATGGGCGGAAGAGAAAATATTCTATCAAGTCTAGCTTATTTCGAGCCATTAGATCATGTAAAAGGAGATCAAAAAGAATTTAGTTTCCATGAAACCACAATTAAGTCGTATCACAAAAGTGCTCCATAACTTCTTTATTATTTAATGAATAGCCTTGCCTTTGAATTCATTACAATATTGAAATCTCTCTCAAGCCCCAACCATGGAAGGAAGATTCATAATATGAACAATCTTGCAGAGTTCAGTCCAAAGGTTGATTCTACCATATTTTGAAATATAAATGAAATAAGCATTGATAGGCACATCATCAAAGAAGATTTTAGTGTGTAAAAGTTGATGTGAATAAAAAATAGAAACACATTAAATCGGTTCCTCTAGAAAAGCTTAATTTTATTGGATTAGTTTTTGAATGCATCCTAAAAACCTAAATGTTATTTTATAAATATTGAATTTAATTGAGCTAACCATAGGTTCTAACATTGTGATAATTTGTAGATTATTAATTTTAAGAAAATTTTTTGGTCTTGTCTTAGCTTGTAGTTTGACAATAGTTTTAATATTTCAAATCATTAACAATAACATTATTAACACTAGAAGATTATATAATTTTCATCTTAGGTGGTTGTGATCTCTCCATTCATATGTTAATTGTATGTCTTTTTAATTTATCAAAATATATATGAGTTTATTCTATCCAAATACATAATTTTGATGTTTAATGGAACATTTTGATCGTTATGCATCTATGAATGCCGGTGGATCTCACTGAATCATAAACATGTACTCGCTTCATTCATTTTGGTGGTTTACAAATTTCTGCATCCACTGCCATGGTTACTGTCGTTTCTATTCACAGCATGCTTGTTTGAGGTTGTGGTGAAGGGCCTCATTCAGTTGAAACACCAGCACAACATGCACACCCTACCATGCTGCAATCAATACTCAGCGAAACCGCCACTGCTATAGAGGTCCCTTGAAAAAGGATCTCAATCTTCGAAAGCTATCCCACCTAGAACCCCCGGCCATGAAAAGGACATCTCTAGCAACAATGAGTTCATCCCTAGCTATACTGGCAAACCTGCACATTGATTACTATCTTCTTTTGCAGACAGCTCAAATTCAATCATCATCTATGTACACGATAGGATATGTACTAGCCGGGTTGGAAGCCTTTCGCATGCTTGCAAGTGTAGCTTTTGAGCTTCTTCAATCATGGAAAAAGTCTAGTCCTCATCTTTGCAATTGGCGACTGCATTTTCTTTTAATTAGATAAAATGGTATCAAAGCAATGCACCAGTTGGAAGATCAGAATTAAGTTTCATATAAGACAAAGTGCTGTCATGGGAGCCACTTCTTGAACGCTGTATGAGACAAAGTGCTACATCATGAGAGTCACCACTTAAACTTGTAGGGGCCACAAGTAGAATCCCATCTGCCTGGTGGGTTATTCTAAGATAGGGATACTGATGAGGAAGTCAGTTATTTAAGTGGAGAAGATTGTGAAACCTCTTAAACAAAAGAAGCTATACTCTTAAACATCGAGGTGCCTTTTGGTGTAATGGTTGGAATTTCATTAAGAAACTTTGCATTTAAGTGTGCTTTGCATTTAAGTGTGCTCATTTTAGAGAAATCCTGAGATGGGTGATCTTCTGGGAAGTTATTCCAATATGACAAAACCGTGAGACCCTTAAACCAAAACGGACAATATATCGATAGGTAAGGGTTTTGGCTATCACAATCCTCACCTTTTAGCCACATCTTTTCTTCCAAAGGATGCAAATATGCAATTGTTGTGCTTAATATTGCATGCCATTTCGGTGAAAATCTTCATCATTACACCATATCTCACATATTACAGAACATAATTTGTTTATAGAGATCAAGCATGGCCAAATACTTTGGTTTGATCTGATCTGTAGCATATGTGATTGTTTTCCATTGTTCTCTTACACCTAAACAAAAACAAGTTGTATTCCTAGACTTCATTTGGGACAACTTTCTCATTGCTTTTTAAAGTAATTTTTTTTTACAAAAATTAAAAAATTTAAACTAAAAAATGCTTTAAAATGCGGTAAGAAAGCCGTCCCAAACAAAGCCTTAAACTTGACTAACCTTTCTCAATTCAAAGATTCTGAACAAGTTTATAACTGATGCAGATTGCAACAATGGTATATGCAGATGATGAGATGAAGGTGCCATTCCTAATCAGATTGCAAAGTGCAGCAGCTCTTAAATTACTGCAACAATTAGCGGTCTATTGCTGTTATTTAAGGTATGATTTTTCTATAATTATTTTTTAATTGTCATTAAGGGATATAACTGTTTATTGTAGAATGTGATCAAGCAGAAGCATCCTGATATATAAACACTCGGCAGCTCTTACTGCATTGTGTCAAACTGCGTAGCTAATGAAGTTCCTTTTTAATTAAAATATTGAGTCTTTTAATTGATATGAATAATTCAAAATAAATAAGAATGGAAATAAATGGAAAGTATTAAGCATAACAAACAAAATTGGAATGTGAGCGGTGAAAAATGCAACAAATTAATTAAGAATTTATTTATTACGATTGTAACTTTTTATAAGATGATTATAAAATTTTTATACGTAAAGTGAATTTTTTGAAAGCACTTTTAAAAAATAATTTTCTAGTATATAAATTCATGAAAATAGTCAAAAATTAATAGTTAAATAGAATTGTGATGGTAACCTTCATGATTTGGCATCTGTTGGCCCCATCTATATCTGGTACAATCAGAGAACTGTAAATCCCATTCATAATAAGTTGGATAGAATGCTTGTAAATGATGAATGGATGGAGATCTTTCCCAACTCTTATTATGTTGCAAAACCTCCTACATGCTCAGACCACTGCCCTATTGTTCTTTTGTCTGGGCATAGAGAAGTCACTCATCATAGATTTCTTTTCAAAAATCACTGGTCTAATCTGAAAGATTTTTGGTATATATTACTCTTCATATTCACAGGGAATACTAGTGATGGGCAACCTTTTTTAGCTCTTTGCTCCTTGCTTAAGCAGCTCAAACTTGCCATTAAAGGTAAAAAGTGGACAAATTCTAATTTGATGGCTGATCATCTTAGCTCTATATATGCCAAGCAAGAAGCATGTATCAACAAATTGAGCTTGGATTGTAACATTGAAGAAGTCTCTTTGTCTCTTAAAAACATAAATCATCAAGTGTCTGTTGTCTCTTCACACTGGCTCTTTTGGACTTCTCTTAGAGCAAAAATCAAATGGATCACAAATGGAGAAGAAGACCTAAATTTTTTATATTCCAATATTCGTATGAGAAGGAATTATATGAGTACTGCTATTTCTCTTTCTATGGCCAATACTTCCATCTCCTATGCTGAAGCTGCCAATGATGTTATTTCCCATTTTTCATAAGCTTTTTCAATTCCACCAATCGGTAGTCTTTTGACATCAATCTTTTTCCAGCGAGTAATTCTATTCCTCTTGAATATCTTATTTCTCTAAACATTCCTTTTACAGAGGTGGAAATTAAAAAAGTTGTTTTCTCTGGAGCATCCTACTCCACTCCGGGTCATGATGGTTTCAACTTTGAATTCTTTAAAAATACTTGGTTGGTGATGGGGCCTATGGTATGCAAAGCTGTAAAGTCTTTTTATCAAAATGCATACATTCCTCGCGCAGCAAAAGTCACTGTCATTACTCTTATCCCCAAGACTAGTCATGCAATGATCATCATTGACTTTAGACCCATTGCCTTGTGCAACACAATATACAAAATCATTGTCAAAATTATAGCTTCTAGAATGAAACCCTTTATGTCGCTCATCATACAAGGTAATCAATCTGGATTCATTCATTAAAGGATCTCCACTGATAATGTCATTCTAGCTAGTGAAATTATCTTTCACTCTAGAAATTCTTCAAAGCTTAATCTTATGTGTGCCAAATTGGATATCAAAAAAGCTTTTGATAGTGTATGTAGAGAGTTCCTTATTGCAAGATTGGTACAAAAAGGCTTCCCTAATATTTTTATAAGATGGATACTGCTTGCATCAAGGATGTCTGGTTTTCCTTATGCATTGATGTTGCTCTCAACGGCTTCTTTCCCTCCATTGCTGGGCTTAGGCAAGGGTGCCCTTTAAGCCTCTATTTATTCTGCATAGTCATGGATGCCTTATTTTGTCTTTTAGATAGTCCTATCAATGATGAACTTTTTGAGGCCCCTCAATTTGGTGGGAACAGAATATCCCACCATATGTATGCTGATGACCTTCTCCTTTTTGGTAGAGCTGACACTCACAACTGTGGCATTATTCGTAAGTTGCTTGATAAGTTTTCTGCTGCATCGGGTCTGGAAATCAATTTTAAGAAAAGCTCCATTATATTACCTGCCAACTATCACTATGCAGATAACATCAGTTATATTTTTAATATTCCCCACACCTCCTGCATTAATTATCTTGGGATCCCCTTATCCCCTTACAACCCAAAAATCTCTGATTTCGCTTGTCTTACGGAAACGATTAATCACAAGCTTGCTGGGTGGAAAGCTAAGTCCTTATCCTTTGCCGATAGATTACAATTTCTGAGGTTCACTATTTGGAATTCAATAGCTTATTGGATATGTGGCTCCATCATTCCTAAAACTATTATAAAGAAAATAGAGAAACATTGTGCTAAATTTCTTTATTTTGGTGAAACAGACTCTCACAAATTGCAACTGATTTCATGGAGAAACACTTGCAAACCAAAAATATTTGGAGGATTGGGGATCCCCTCATTACATGCTGTTCAATTTAGCTATTCTTGTGCCCTTATAAGGAGATTATACAATGGGAGCAGTCATTTAGCATCTTGGCTTTTGCATCATTATGTGTTCCCCTAGAAGCCTCCTGCCTCTAAGGCCACTTCTTTTTGGAAATACTTTTGTAAAATTGCTGCTATGGTTAAGACAAATTTCAGATTTATGGTATCTCACAAAGCCCCAATCTCTCTTTATTGGGATCACTAGGTAAACGATATGTTACTTAAAGAGGTGACTGTTATGCAAGCCTTAATTAACGGTTTTCTGGTAAATTCTAGAATTTATGTAATACTTCATGAGAACGGTTGGGACCTTCCAGCCGATTTATCGGCTGACCTCTTGTGTGCGTTATCCACAATCTTTGTTAATTCGACAAATAATGATAGCATTATTTGGGGAAATGAGGAGGTTAAACACAGCAGCTATATTAAATATCTTTATAGAAATGAGCTTATGGTTACTTGGCACCAATTTGTTTGGCACAAACATTTCTCTCTTAGATATTCTACCTTTTGCAGGATGGCCTTGGTTGGTGGCCTTAAGATGGCTAATGCTTTGAATATAAGGGGCATTACTATAGATTCATGCTGCTGTTTTTGTCATTCGGAATATAAAAGTGTCACACATCTGTTTTTTGAATGCACCTACACCTTTTCTGTGCTCACCCAGCTCATTCCTCGGATGAAGAATCATCTACTTAGACCCAATATTCTTCAAGCTTTTGAATGCACTAGTGGGACTAATAAGTGGACTATGACCTTTTACCATCTTATCATATGCTGTACGATATATCACATTTGGAGGAAAAGAAATGATAGGAAGCTTGGCAACTCCTTTGCCTCTTCCACTACTATTGCTCTCAAAATGAAAAGTATTGTTTTTGATAAGATTCTGAAATGGAAACAAGGTTGTCTACTTTTGGATTTGATATAATATATAGCAGGCGGTTTTTTCGGGTGCTCTTATTGGCTGCTGCGATGTTTTATAGGGATGGATGTGTTGTTGTATATGGGCAAGGATGATTGGATTGCCTTGGTTCTCCCTTCGGATGGCAGTATTTGGGGCTACTGCAACCAGGTCGTTAGAGCATTGGAAATTCCTGAGCCCGTGATGGGGAAGTATCTATCTTTCTTGTGATTCTAGCTATTAGTGGTTGATCACCTCAGGCTTTTTGTGGCTGTTTTTTGTTGGAGTTAATGCAATTTTTTTTGCAGTTTTTCCTTAACTCCTTGTAGGGTTTTGTAGCATATTTTTTGCCTAGTGCTATTACACCTTTTTTGGTTCTTTTACAGGTTACACATGTATTTTTCTTCATTTTAATGAAAATGGGCTAAGCCCTCAATTCTTCAAAAAAAAAGAAAAAATGCATAGTGAATTTTTTGTAATTACATCAAAATAAGTTAGGGTATATTACTATATCTACCTTGCAAAAATCATTAATATTTTGAATAAAACCAATTTCTTAAAACTAATATTGTCTTAATTTTTGACGTAACAGTTTATTCATGTTTCATTTGGGATAGACTTTTTACAGCTTTGTAAAACAGCTCTCTAGTACAAAAGCTTCTCTTTCTTGATATTTTTGTACTCGAAAATTGATTTAAAAAGAAAAAAAATTGTCCCAAAACAAAACTTTATTTTTATCGAACTTTTAAAAATTAATTCTATTCAAAATATAACATATAATCAATTAACAGAAATCAATAACGAAATTGGGTCTTATATTCTTTTGGAATGCCTATAAATTATAACACTTCATGGATCATAATTGACACCATTCAATCAATTGAAATTAGAACACCAGAAATTTATCTACAACTTCTTACTGTTTTTCAAAGCTATTTTTAACTACCAAATTTTTTTGGAAAAAAAATACTAAAAATTTATAATAAAAAAAATATTTCAAACAAAACCTTAAACAGATACATTAGCATATGAAATCATCTTAAAACATCAAAACTAGACCCAAATTGAACAATCTTAATTATCTTTTACTTCAAAACAGAAATGGATACAAAGCAACCTGAATTGCCAATCTTCTCCATCAAAAGAGAGACACAGATGGATGCAAAGCAACCAAAATTGCTGACATCCACAACAACAGACAAATAAGTAACAAAACACACTCAAACGGTAACTAAATTCAAATTCATATACCAAAGTCAGAAACCATAAATCCCACTTCACACTACTCTGCTCCATACTTCTTCCTGAGATAGCCAACGAACTCATGGATTTTCTTCGGTTCATAAAGGGTTTTGGCCACGCTCGCTCGCTCCTTGCAACGCTTCGCCCAGGACACCAGTTTGGAACACTCCTGCTCAATGCTGAATCCGGCGTAGGTCTCGTAGCTATAGAACCAACTCGTGAAGGGAACCAGAGCAATGTCGACTAGCCCGAAGGTTTCGCCCCCGAAGTACTTCTTGTCGCCGAGCTCGGCTTCCAGTGTCTTCAAGATCAGGATGAACTCTTCCTTTGCTTCCTGCAAGGCCTCGCCCTTTAGTTTCCACAGCCGGGTACCGCACTCATAGACCTGTAATTTGAATGGCAGAAGAAATAATTTTGATCAGAGTTTCCCATTCACTCGAGTGTGGAAGAAATGCTTGCTTTACTCTAAGAAAATTTTCAAACACAAAATTCCTCTGATTATATTCAATTAATGCATGTATTTTTTACTTGTTAGTGGATTTGATTTTGAATCCTTTCTATGATTTATCAATTCATTTTTGGATAATCAGAATAAATTCTGATCACTTGCAAAATGAATAACTGCAATAAATATGGCTACTTTAAGGCAGAAGAATGTAAGAATATATATAGTTGATAGCGAAGCTTGACCAACCAAAATTCTCATTCAAATAGAACAATTCAGAACAAAATCTTAGAAAATCTCATTGTTCTTTAAATTAAAATAAACTATTCGATAAGAATATATATCACCTCCACACAACACCGACATGCACTAAATCTCATTAGAAAAAAAATCCGAAACTGAAGCTCGCGATCGATCAAGAAAGAGATCCATTTCATACCTTCTTGTCGACGTAGTCGGCCCAGAATCTGGCCTGGGCCCGTGCGTACGGATCAGAAGGCAAGATGGGCGTCTTGCTGGGCCAAACCTCATCGATGTACTGAACAATGATAAGCGATTCGCAAACAGGTTTGCCATCGTGTATGAGAACTGGGATTTTCTTGTAGATCGGGTTGGATTTGAGAAGCAGCTCACTCTTATCCGACAGATTCTCCTCCTTGTACTCATACTCCACCTCCTTCTCCGCTAACGCAATCCTGCATCGTTGTCCGAAAGGGCTAGACCAGAGATCCAGCAACTTCACTCCCTTCTCCTCCGCCATTCTTCTTTTTTCTCGTTTGAGCCTCTGGGAAATATGCACGCAAGTTGTTTGATGAAATGGCCGCGAGGCTGAGGTATTTATAAGGGAGAATGAGGCGGCAAGTTGTTTCTGGAGTGTTCCGTTTTTGGGCTTAAATGTCATTGCTCGCGTCACCTGAGAAACGAAGTCGCGAGAATTAATTTTTATGGTGGATTCGTCAACTTCTGCAGGATCTATGGCTGTGATTCATTGGGATGCAACGTGCGTTATATTCACAGTAGCCACATTTAGGCGCAAGTCCTTTCAATTACTTTTTAAAAGAATTAAAGTTACAATTAATTTATAAAAGTTTATTATTTTGAGCGGGCACGAATCTCGATGCAAAATTGAATTGAAAGCTTCCAAAACTAAATCAGAGACCATATGAATTTCGATTTCAGCAAACTTATAGTTGAACTGAGCGTCTCGGAAACATGAACCCAACGACACCAAAATCGACCCAATCTGAGACCAAATGAGTCCAAATCAAATACTTGAAGCACTTTTGGAAGGATCAAACCACAATTTGGATTACCAAACGATCTTTAATCATGACATGCTTATAGTCGAATCAAGCAGCTCGATGAGACGAATCCAATAAGCCCAAGATCATCAAATTTTGATATCATTAAGACAATCAAATATCCATTGAACGGTGCATGATTGTAGGAATCAAGATTGGCCGTCCATACAAATCACTCCCAATTTACCCTTGATCTTCCACTTATTTACTAGCCATGCCAGTCAATAATTTTATAAATAGAACCCCATTTCCTCTTGAATGGGCCACAAGAGAAGAAGGAAGAAAGCTCCAGCTGTCTATCTCCTCCTCGATCACCGCCAGAGTTTTACCACACCATCGTCGGAGTTCTATCGCACCACTATCAGGTTCTGTCGAACCACCACCAGACCATCCAAGGATGTTTAAGGGCCACCCGAAGCCAGAGTGCCCCATGACGCTGTAATGCCACTACCGGACTACCGCCTGACACCAAAGTGCTGACAGACCACCATCTGAGACCTGGACTTCTGCCATACCACCACCTAACGCCTGGAGTTCTGCCGGAGTACCGCCTTATTACAAGGGTCTTTCTAACCGTAGTCTTCTACCGATTACAGTCCTTCTGACCTCCCTTGCCAGACAACGGTCTTTCTAACACTAGTCTCATGCCTATTACGATCTTTCCGACCTCCTTCGCCAAACAACAGTCTTTTTGACACCAGTCTCCTGCCGACTACGATCATTCCGACCTCCCTCGCTAGACAACATTCTTTTTGACTCCAGTCTCCTACAGATTACGATTCTTTCGACCTTCGTCTCCTACTATGGTGACCTCCCTCGCCAACTATGGTCTTTCTGACCCCGCTCTTCTGCCAACTACGATCTTTCTGACCTTCCTCACCACACAACAATCTTTCTGACCCCTATCTCCTATCGACTACAGTCCTTCCAACTTCCGTTGCCTACTACGGTCTTTCCGACCTCTATCCTATCAACTATGGTCCTGCGAACCAAACAAATATGTCTATGTTGATTATTGTAACTCCCACCATGTAATGCGCTCTATATGATATGTATTTGTGACATCAAGCCAATACCTTCTCCCAAGGATGGGCCTCATTTGTAATCAACTGCAAATACTAGTGGATTCATTCAAACTGGGTTAGGCCTCGTGGTTTTTCTCATTTTCAGGGATTTCCACGTAAAAACTCTGGTGTCTCTTATAAATACTACATCTCTCTCTCTTTCATCTGCTTGTGTGTTGGATCTTCGTACAACGTAAGACGTTAAACTATATACTTCTCTACCGCCACGAATATTCTAGGATGCAACAATCATATAATTAAATTAATATTGAGAAAATGAGTCTCGTGCATCTTAACCTGTGGTAATTTATTATTGATGTTTGAACAAGCAACACTATAGAGAGAATGCAACATCTTTATGTACCCTATGCTTCAATCATTTTAAATATTCTTGAAACTATTTTGAATTAAACCGAATAATATTTCTCACGTCACCTAATCTCTCTCTCTCTCTATCATGAGAATGGCTAAGGCAAAATAAATAAATAAATAAAGAGAATGACTAAGGCTCTGTTTGAGGCAACTTCTAAGAATTAATTTTTCACTTCTCTCAAAAATTTTGTACTAAAAAACTGTCTAAGAAGCAGTAAGAAAACTGTTCGAACAATATCTAAGTGATCATCCACACATTCTCGCCAAACTTTTACGTCTATACTCAAATATAAATATGGAATTACATAACTCCTCATAATACCACCATAGTAAATATCTCACTTATTTTATGAATGTTTCAGTATATTAATGCTTTAAAAAATTATATCCTATGAAATATCTAACTCACTCTAATATAACTATTTTCCATGATTTTTTCACTCCCTAAATTATATATATATATATATATATATATAAAATACATACTTTTTATTCATCTCATTTCTAACTTATTTTTTAATCATGCATATGTCATAATAAAAAAATCTATTAATCTAATTCTATGCCTAGAAAATATTAGGAGCTCGTAATAAAAAAATATTAGAATTTTAAAATTAAACACACTCCTTTTTTTATTTTTATCTTATTGTTCGAGTGATCATACATATGTAAAAATCATCTTTTCCAATTTGTAAATTTATTAAAAAAAATTTACATCTTTAAAAAATTATTAGGAACAGTATTAAAAATATTGTTACAAGTTAAAAATGTCTTTTGGTATAAAAATCTCTCATGCTGCAAACAAGCTTAAAATTGTTCTTTAGATGGACCTGGGCCAAAAATTACAGTTTTTTTTTGTCCTAATTTGGGCATCAAATTTGAGGAGCTCTTGGAGGCCCAAACGATCAAGCAAAATTCAGTTTTTTGGGCCTAATTTGGGTATCTAATAAGAGGAGCTCTTGGAGACCCAAGCGGTCAAGTAAAAGTTACACTGTATGTGTAATTTGTTTATCTTGAATATGATAAGAGGAGTTTTTTGAGGAGAAATTATTCTGTGTGAAGTACGGACAAAGAGAATCGTCTAGATTGTTGAATTTACTGGTATTTATAAATACTTAGAAAATACACTGTAAATAAGCAAATGTTAAATAAATACACACAAAATACACAACGAATACTTACAAATTGCTCAGTAATACTCACAAGTCACAATTGAATATTTGTCGAGTATTTACTGAGTATTTGCAAATACACGGCAAATATTCAGTAAATATGCAGCAAATTCGGACTATTCTCACCATCAAGGCTCTGCACGTAATAATTTCTCCTTTTGGAGGCCCAAGCGATCATGCACGCCACGTTGAGAGCTCATACTTAGGCTTCGTTTGGGACTGCTTTCTTACTGATTCTTAAAATAACTTTTAGTATAAAAATTTTTTAACTGAATATTTTTATTAAAAAACTGCTTTAGAAAATAATTATAACGTTGTCCAAACAAAATCTTAGTAAGCAGTTCTGTTTAGCTCACTTAAAAAATTTGCTTAATGAAATTTAATAATTGTCATCATTACTAACAAAGTTTTAACTATTAGCTCATTTTCCACAGGTTAAGCTTTAATATATTCAAAATAATATTTTTAATGTTATTCATATAGAATAAGATAATACTTTTCACGTTAGGCTTAGATGACTTACATAGCTCTACTTTATATTGTAAATATTATTAAATACCCCTAATCGATCATTACAACCATAATTATTGATGTTTGTCACATCTATATAGACGCTAATATCATATTAATAATGTTATTTATAAATAGTCCCCTAATTTTTCAAAGTATCAAAATAATTTCCGACTATATAAATGTATCAATTTGATTATTTGACTCTTTAAATATAGATCAAATTAATCATTTCATGAATTTATTTAGGTCCCTATTTAAAAAATGAAGTAACTAAAATAAAAAATTAAATAATTTATGACAATTTGGTCATTCTTAAATAGTGAGATTATCATTTTGATCATTATCACCTTAATTAGATAATGCTAAGTATTAGAATTTAGATATACTAATGTGAAAATATTAAAATTCTAAACTTGTTAGATAAAGCTCATATTTTTATCAACTCAAATTTATAAATGATTTATATAAAGCTAAAAACATTAAAAAAGCTTTCTCAAATAAAGCCTTAAATAGAATATTTTAGAATATTATGATTTATAATTTATAATTTTTTTTTTATAAAAATACATGATATTAAGTTCATCATTTATCAACATTAATATATACTATGTGGAGTTAACTACATGAATCCTTTTTCTCATTATTAAAGTATATAATAAATTGCTAATCCTCAAATTTTATGAAAAGAACAGTCATTATAAAAAATATCCTACTATTCAAAATATATTAAATGATTGAGATATTTAATTTCATCATTTGCAATTAAGATGATAATCAGGAACAAATTTGAATGAGGTTTATAACAGCCTCAATAATAATAAAAAATCTTAATTTTTAATCAATGTCTTGAAACTTTAATAACCCTAATCATTTTATAAATATAAATCATTATTTCATCTCTGGTTATAGATAATCATTATTTTCGATCAATCATTTATTGCCTATCAAATAGGATATAGATCATAATCGTCCGATTATCTTGATTAGGGAACCATCCAAATATAGAGGTCAGTGTCCTATGCATAGGGGTGTAATTGAGTCAAGCCGTTTTATGAGTCAGCTCAGGCTTGAAATGATAAATAGCTCGTGACTCGAGCTCAATGAACTGACGAGTTTAATTTGAGCGAGTCCCGATTTATCTTGTCTATTGATGAGCTAACTAATTCAAAATATATCAATATACTATACTTAAAATATATTAGAATTCAATATTTTTAGTATAAAATTACATAAAATATTTATAATTTATATTTCTCCTCCATGTTATTATTATTATTATTATTTATTAATTCATTTGAATTTGATATGTATAATTCTAATATTTTAAAATAATAATAATAATATAAAATATAAATATATTTTAGAGATTTTAGTTGATTTAAATTAAATTTTGTCTTTTC